TAATGTAGGCTACAAAATCTGCTTTAAAATCCCAGCGCTGTCGTCATCGTGTAAAGCCCGCCCCAATGTTTCTGATTGGTGCCTCGATTTCTTGCGGACTGGAAATGGGTTCGAATGAGTTTTTTGCCAAACTAACTTTCAGAGCAAATCTAAATTTGCCGGAAGTTGTCTGGGTTTTCCCATGCTAAAATTACACAATTGTGCTGCTTAATATTTTTGTGGAAACTTTAATATAATTTCAGCATTCTTTGATTAGAAAGTTCAAAATTTTAACCTTTTTTTTTTTTTTTTTTTTTTTACAATGTAAAAGTCTTAACTGTCACTTTAAATTCAATGCATCAAAGCTTTCAACGCATAAAAGTATTAATTTCTTTAAAACAAATCTTACTGACTCCAAACTTTTGAACAGTAATGTATGTACTTTTAAATGTTTGACTATGCATGAATTGCACATTTTAAGTATATATGTAATAAGGTTTATGCTTGAAACCATAATGGTAAGAAAAACAAACCTAATTCAACATAGTGTATGCTGGTGTTAGTTGTGTAATTAGTTAATTTATCCATAAATATTTCAATTTTTTTCCCCCTGGAAAACAAGACAAAGGAACTTGGTTAATTTTTCAGTATGCTTTCGATGACACACACAATAGAGGGCAGAAGAACACTGTCCCACACGTGTGTTACATGACCGTGCTTGTTCACAGATTCCTCTATGCCTCATAAAACTCATGCCCTGAGGGGCTTCTTAAATTATGCAGTCCCCTCTGTTTGAGCTGCCATTTAACCACCAGCTTCACAGAACCCACATGGAACTGTGGTCGGCCATATGGCCCATGCATTACACACTCATATTCTGTGCCTCATGTTCGTTAGTAAAACTCAAATAGCTTCTGATAGATGCATCTGTTTCTCTGTCTGTCCTTCTATTTCAGTTCATTGAAATTTTATTGTTACATCTGTTGGAGTACAGAATTTCCAAAGAATAGTATAGTTGGGGAGGCTAGGGAAATACCTTTTGTATATCAACGCATTCTCATAGCTTTTTTAATTTTCCTTGACTTAAACTACTGCAAGTCTATTCTGCAATATACTATACTGTATGCCAACGGTATGATACCATCAACACATTTACAGGGAGAAAGTCAGTGAATTTAAAATAAGAAGTCAGATTTTTTACCATTACAAGCATTACATGCAATTGCAACATATAAAGAAAATGTATTATTACTGGAGGTATTTTTTTAAATTATTATATTTAAATTGTTTATATTATTATTATAGTATTTTTGTTTTATTTGCTCAAAAATGGATTACACGGTTTTAACATAAACTAAAAATGGATATTTGACAGTCATACATAAAAAGCGGGTTTATTTCTGCACTAAAAAAAGAAAATATTAGCATACAGTAGTTTATTACTAACTTTTTGCACCTGTTTGTTCAAATTGCTTGGGAATCAGCATAAATCTGTAATTTCTTAAAACAATCAAATGTATTCAGTTATAAATAATAAACATGGTTAAAATATGGCTAGCTAAAGAACAAGCAATTATCAATTAGTTAAAATTATAAGAATGAAACAAATTAAATTGTACCTGGTTATTATGTTTTTAAATCTCATTCCCTTCATTAGTACAAAAGTCTTAATGTTCCGTTTATGAAATGACTGCCAAATGTCACATTAATTTTATTAGTCTGTTTATGTTAAAACTGTGTATCCCAAATTGATCTTTTTTTTTTTTTTTTTTTTTTGCAAGTCAAATGCATCTTAAATTTAGGCCTACGTATTTTTGTGAGTGAAGGGTGAATTTGGGTCATTTTATTTATATATTTATTTATTTATTTATTTATTTATTTATTTATTTTGACATTGAGGTGACTACTGCAACTGAATGTACTAAACAAACCCTATACAGTACATAAATTACTTTTGAATCCTATTAACTTGGTTCGCTTTTCCCTCTCTCTGTCTCTCTGCCCTTGTCTTGTCTCATCCTATATTTCTGAGTACATGTTGATGGCTCACATCTCTCAAACCCTGTCGACTGGTCTGAAGGACGCTCTTAAAGAGTCGTAGATACTCTCAGATGCATTTTGAGAGCATATCATGCCCAAAGTGTTGGGTGTCAAAGTATCTTATTTTAGTACTTTAGGGATTTATGCTAAGTTGTGTTTTGCAAGATATCATGAGCAGAGCAACCTGTTATTATGGTGAACTGAAGAGCACTTAAATTGCCCGTCGGATGAGGATTTCTTGAAATTACCTTATCTGTCACGGCCTTAGCAGCTTATGTCTTCTGTTTGCCCTCTGTTCGGAGACACACACACACACACACACACTTCAGCTCTGTAAGATCTGCTCTTTCTCACAAATCAATGCATTAACATACAATATAATTTGACAGCATTATGTGAGTTGTTGTTTATGTTTTACAGGGGAATTGGAAAGCAAGGATTCCAGTGTCAAGGTAAGAATTTAAATTCATTCCACGCCTGTACTCAACCAAAAACAAAATTAGTGCGGAAAATGCTAAATAACTGATTCTATCTGGGGCTTCCTATCATCAAAGTCACCTAGCCTATTTCTGAATTAATTGCATTACTTGATACCATACATTGCTGTGAATGAGCATCGCAGGTCCAAGGGTGTGACCAAATATTCCATACTGAAGGGGACTTAACGTAAAATTGTAGGCCTATTCCATGTCCCCCTCAATGTCTATGGGGTCCATGTGAAGATTGAAAAGTTGTTTGCTGAAGCAACTCATATTTGACAGTGAGTAAGCTGAGACAGCAAAGTCTGAGCAAAGCAATGTAGCAATGACCTGTAGCTAAATGATGAACTCCCTCCATTTAATCTCACTTTAACAGTATATTTTTTCTGCATCATGGCATTCAAAAGTTTTGTGTTTGGATTCTTAAAAAAAAAAAAAAGATATATAGGCTACAGTGGTAAGAAAAAGTATTTGATACACTGCCGATTTTGCAGGTACACTGTTAGACCTTACCAGGTTTTTTACAGTAAAATACTGGCAACACTGTTGCCAGTAATTTACTGTAAAAATGCACTAAAACTAATAAGTTGTATTTTTTAGTTAACTTGAGTTTTAGTGCATTTTTACAGTAAATTACTGGCAACAGTGTTGCCAGTATTTTACTGTAAAAAACCTGGTAAGGTCTAACAGTGTAGGTACTCTTCAACTGTGAGTGACGGAATCTAAAACAAAAATCCAGAAAATCAATTCATTTTCATTTTAAGTATTTGATCACCTACCAACCAGTAATAATTTCAGCTCTCACAGACCTGTTAGTATCTCTTTAAGAGGCCCTCCTGCTCTCCACTCATACCTGTATTAACTGCACCTGTTTGAACCCATTACCTGTGTAAAAGACACCTGTCCACACACTCAATCAAACAGACTCCAACCTCTCCGCAATGGCCAAGACCAGAGAGCTGGGTAAGGGCATCAGGGATAAAATTGTAGACCTGCACAAGACTGGGATGGGCAACAGGACAATAGGCCAGACGCTTGGTGAGAAGACAACAGCAGTTGGCGCAATCATTAGAAAATGGAAGAAGTTCAAGATGTCAGTCAATCTCCCTCGGTCTGGGGCTCCATGCAAGATCTCACCTCGTGGTGCATCAATGATCATGAGGAAAAGGTGAGGGATCAGCCCAGAACTACATGGCAGGACCTGGCCAATGACCTGAAGAGAGCTGGGACCATAGTCTCAAAGAAAACCAGTAGTAACACACTATGCCATCAAGGATTAAAATCCTGCAGTGCACCCAAAGCCAGCGCATGTCCAGGCCCATCTGAAGTTTGCCAATATGGATGATCCAGAGGAGGAATGGGAGAAGGTCATGTGGTCTGATGAGACAAAAATAGAGCTTTTTGGTCTAAACTTCACTCGCCGTGTTCGCCGTGTTTGGAGGAAAAAGGAGGATGAGTACAACCACAAGAACACCATACCAACCATGAAGCATGGAGGTGGAAACGTCTTTGTTTGGGGATGCTTTTCTGCAAAGGGGACAGGACGACTGCACTGTATTGAGGGGAGGATGAATGGGGCCATGTGTCATGAGATCACACAGCCAGGGAAAATAAGGAGTGGCTCCGTTAAAAAGCACCTCAAGGTCCTGGAGTGGCCTTGCCAGTCTCCAGACGTGGAGAGTCCATATTGCCCAGCAACAGCCCTAAAACCTGAGGAATCGGGAGAAGGTCCGTATGGTGGAGTGGGCCAAAATCCCTGTGGCAGTGTGTGCAAACCTGGTCAAGAACTACAGGAAAGTATGATCTCTGTAATTGCAAACAAAGGTTTATGTGCAAAATATTAAGGTCTGCTTTTCTGATGTATCACATGCTTATGTCATGCAATAAAATGCAAATTAATTGCTTAAAAATCATGTGATTTTCTGGATTTTTGTTTTAGATTCCGCCACTTAATGTTGAAGAGTACCGATGATAAAAATTACAGACTTCTACATGCTTTTTAAGTGGGAAAACTTGCAAAATCAGCTGTGTATCAAATACTTGTTCTCTCCACTTGTTCTACAGTGTGTGTGTGTGTGTGTGTGTGTGTATATATATATATATATATATATATATATATATATTTCAGCAACATTTTTGATTCAAAAATGAATAGCACTAATATTAAAGGAATACTCCACTTTTTTGGAAATAGGCTCATTTTACAACTCCCCCAGAGATAAACAGTTGGGTTTTACCGTTTTTGAATGTATTCAGACAATTTTCTGATATTTAGAAGAATATCAGTAAAACAGACAGTTTATGGTCTCATTGACTTCCATAGTATATACTTTTTCCTACTATGGAAGTCAATGAAACCAGAAACTGTCTGGTTACTGATTCTAAATATCAAAAATCGGCTGAATGGATTCGAAAACAGTAAAACTCAACTGTTTAAGTCTGGGGAGTGGTAAAATGAGCCTATTTCCCTTTAAGGATCATGCGACATTGAAGACTGGATTCCTGGAGACTGTTGAAAATCCAGCTCTGCCATCAAAGGAATAAATTACATTTTAAAATGTAATAAAATATAAAAGCGTTATTTTAAATTGTAATAATACACTGTATTTTTGATCAATAATTTGGTAACAAGCAGCAAACATTTTAAAATATCTTACGGACCCCAAACTTTGAACAGTATCATGAATTATCTCATTTAATGTTTTTGATTAAATTATGAAAAATTGTTTATTAAATCTATTAAGTGTACTCATCATACAATAATTAATTAATTTATTAATGATCTTCTATAGCCCCTAACATGGGGAATATTAACAAATTTTCTACCATTTTACTTGTTAAACTGTGAAATCCATTTCTTTTAGTCTGCAGTTTTGTGGTGCACAAACGCTGCCATGAGTTTGTAACTTTTACTTGTCCTGGAGCCATCACCACTCCCAAAGCAGAGGTGTGTATGTTCCGTCTGTGTCTTTCTCTGTTAACTTATACAGGATGTGTATGTGATCCTCTTACCATTAGGATTATTTTTGTTGTTGTTGTTTTTGTCCTATCACTTTTCATATTTATTTTGCTTGATCATCGTATAATTCTCCGTCTCATGCTTGATTTTCTGCTATGATCACCGCAGTTCATCTTTTATTCTACTGTATCATCCTTACCCCATCTGTCTCTCTCCTCTTCATTTTTGCATGGCAAGCCATTTATTTTTTGGCTGAGTAAGCCAATATAGAAGTAGATCTCACCATCACACACATATTTTATTCCTTTTCCTGACAAGCCTTTTATTGCTCTCGCTTGCATAACTTCTTTAAAAGAGGAGGCTTTATAGGAAAAAGAATATCAATTTCCTTTCTCTCTTACTCTCTCATATTCGTGCTACGGTATGATAAAACATGCAGGGGAGGTGATATGATGGTGTTACACTGCTACTCACGCTCGTACAGTACAGAGTGAGTGTGAGAATATGTGTGAAAGAGAAAAACAAGGAAGGGCCTATGTTGTAACACACTACCTCTGTTCCAAATGCTAGTTTACCACCTACGTAGGCAGCACTTTTCATCAAAGGCATCATGATGGGCCTCTTCCAAAGATTGTTTCAAAAGTGAAACAGCTCAATTTTGCTGTCTCCAAATACAAATTTCTTTTTGCAGTAAAAAGTGCTGTCAAAATTAACACAGTTGTATTTTTAGTTTAATTTGTTAAAAATATTTAACGCAATTAACGTAATTTTTTTTCCGTCAAAATCATTTTCATTGCTTTTGACGAAAAAAAAAAAAACGTTAATTGCGTTAAATATTTTAAATCTGAACTGTTCTGACTGAGCAAATGGAAAAAAAATTGAGCCCTGATATATTAAAGGGCTCAGGTAAATGCCAAATGTATTATAATGGGTTTGTGTGAAGATTATTTTAAATTCACTTAAAATAAAAGTTGTTGTATTTTTATAAAAGCCTGATAAAGTTCAAATTGATAGCAAAACTGTAATTCTGAATGGCTATAATTAATGGGTAAAATTGAGAAAAAAAATATTTTCTTAGTAAAATCAGTAGCTGTATTGGTATCTGTAATACTGGCCTTCTTTCATAAAAAGGTGTGATTAATCTACGACTGACAGAGAGGGAGAGACGTGTCAGAGGATGAAGAAAAGGAGTAAGCAGCTTGCAGAGAGTGGGAATGAGGAAGAGAGAGGGACACGAGGGTGGGGTGGAGGGGGTTTAGGCATTTAGGAGGATTCAGTTTTCACAGCTGAGTAGAACTCATATTCATCCACCATTCATCCTCAAAATAGCCCTGGCTAATTGGCTCCAAAAAGTCACTTCAAAATGAAGCCTTTCCTCTGGACTTTTAAAGAGAGAGAGAGAGAACCAGAGGGAAAGTAGAGTATCTGTGTTTGTTTGTGCATAAAGCTTGTCCTATTTATAGAGCAACGCACAGTATGAGTGGACTTCTTATCAGACACATAATTTAAATCTCTTTTTAAATATCTTTTTTTTTTCTCTCATGGCCAACCATTTCCAAGAACTGGGTGTGCATGGTGCCCCTCTTTTTTTAAATATGAAAACACATCAAAGTGCTTTTGCCAACGGACTAAGCAATTAAATAATAAAATGAGGACAATGTTTTTCTCTGTCCCTCTCTCCAGGATCTCAAAAGCAAGCACAAGTTTAAAGTACAGACATACTCTAGTCCCACCTTCTGTGATCACTGTGGATCTCTGCTCTATGGCCTCATACATCAAGGCATGAAATGTTCCAGTGAGTCTCTCTATCTATATATCTATATCTATATTTATTTGTTTCTCATGCTTATGATAATTATTATAATATAATATAAATGAAAAAGTCCCCTGCCTAATCTCCACGATGCTTAAAATATTTAGGCAATATTAAAATAGTTTTTAATTAAAAAGGAGACTTGCAAATAAAATTGTTACTTTTAAGTGTCACTTTATTATATTATTATTATATTATATTATATTATATTATATTATATTATATTATATTATATTATATTATATTATATTATATTATATTATATTATATTATATTTGCTAAGTTTTTGTGGTATTGGGTAAAATTTAATTTACTTAAATTCTTTGTGCATATACATTTTAGGGTTTACAGCGTAATTCTGCCAGCCATGCAAGGATATATAAATGATTGTAAATTGTAATATTTATTTAAAAAAAAATCAAATTACAGTAAATATTATACTAACTTTTGATGAATTAAGTCCATTGTAATTTCTTGTTCAAAATAAATTAATTTTTACAACATTTTTTATCCTGATTAAACTGTATCAATTCTAAGATTAGCATAACATAATTATCAAGATCCCTGTTATTAAATTAACATAATTTCTGTAATTATATGTAATTGTAGTACTGTCTGTAGAGTGGCGTTTTTCAGGCTTTTAATAGATACCTCATACTCTATATCAGATTGAATTAACTATGGTTTAATCCATGTAATAAACATGCCATAATATAATTTGCATGACATGATAGACTTTTAGAGAATAATAAAGCAGGCTGTTGCAGCTGACAGCACTTGCTGTTTCAGCATGTTGTCTCATAACGTACAACGTATGACAATGGCTGTTAACAATTACATTATCAGATTTGGACTTTATAATTATTGTTTTTGGACAGGCCGGAGACTAGTACATCACTCTTTCTTGCTGTCTTTTGTGTTATTTGTCTGTTTGTGTGTCTGTGTGAGAGAGGTTGTGACATTAATGTACACAAGCGCTGTGAGAGCAGTGTCCCCAGCTTGTGCGGACAGGACCACACTGAGAAAAGGGGACGGATTCGTCTCACCGTGCGTGGAGAGAAGGAAGACCTATTTGTCACAGGTGAACATACCTTTAACTTCATGGCCTGGTTTCACAGACAGGGCTTGGATTAAGCCTTCGTTGAATTAGGACATTTAAGTAAACTTGCCTTTCTTATTTTAAGATATGTCAGTGCAAGTATCTTTCAGTTAAAACAGTTCAAACATGCTAGCTTAAGCCTTTTCTGTGGAACCGGGCACATGTGAGTTTTAAAACTGTTGAAAACCATAAGGCTTCTCAAAAAGCTCATTCATTGATGCTCTACACTTTAGTGTTCCATGACTTTTTTTTGTGTAAACTTACTTAACATTAAGTTATTACAGTTTATGTAACATATTTGTATTTGTGTGCTATCCCACGTATGAGGTCTTCACTTTCTTGACTGTTTCCAACAAAATTGATACAACAATTTCATGATGTTGATACAATCCATCTAATTAACCCCTTAACGCCTGAATTTATATGGCTGTATGTAAAAAAAAGTTGTATGTGTGTTTTTGCCTTTAAGTAGATGGTAAATAACGTTGAGATTATCAATTTCACTTTTGCACAACAAATAAATCGAAATTTTGGTATGTTGCAAATCTGCAACAGCGGGCTTAATCGTCAATTTGGTATGTTGCAAATGTTGCAAATGTTCCTGACCGGAGTAATCCTCATGCGTAAACAGGAAATAAGTCCGTCACTTTGCTGTCCCACTAGAAACAAGTGCTTGTCGAAGGTCCTAGGTCCGTAGCGAATATGCACTAACCGGCATTGGGGGAATGCAGACGTTATCTCGGCTGGTTGACTGAGTCAAGCGGTTTGTCGCATATTTGTGACAGTGGGCGTTAGTTAATATAAAATTTGTTTTTGCAAAAAACGTGTCTGTAACCCTGTTTCCCTGAGAGGGAACGAGATGCTGTGTAGAGACGCTGTGGGAACGCCCCCTGCGTGATTGCGTCGGGAGGCACGTCTATAATCAGTCCAATGGAGAGACGAGACGTCATAGGCGGTTGACGTCATTGACCAGGAAACTATAAAGCACACCTGAAAACAGACCGCACTAGCTTCTGATAGGCCGAAGCAAGTCGATCACTGGCATGCAGGGAGTATGGCAGGGCGACGCAGCGTCTCGTTCCCTCTCAGGGAACCAGGGTTACAGTCGAAATCTGAGACGTTCCCTTTCAAGGGAACTCGAGCTGTGTCGACACGCTGTGGGAACACTGTGCCCACTACGCCATATTAGCAAATGCCTGGTCTCTGTGAAGTCATTGCGCACACTAAGAAGCAAGGAGCCTAGATCCAAGTCATAGCCTTTGAGGCAGCCATACTCCTAGTATCTTGGCCAGATGCCTCACAGTGCCATGAAGGAAATGTACTACAGGGTGTCTGTAGTACGTTTCAATACCAGGAGAGCACCAGGGCAGATAACTTGGTCTAGCTCAGGGTTTCTCAAACTCGGTCCTGGAGGGCCACTGTCCTGCAGAGTTTAGCTCCAACCCTGATCAAACACACCTAAGCAAGCTAATCAAGGTCTTCAGGATCAGTAGAAACTCACAGGTAGGTGTATTTGATCAGGGTTGGAGCTAAACTCTGCAGGAAAGTGGCCCTCCAGGTCCGAGTTTGAGAAACCCTGGTCTAGCTGCTGCTCTCGGCACCAGGATGTGAACGATTTCCACTTCAAGGTGTAGAGTTTCCTTGTGGAGGAAGCTCTGGAGACCTGAACTTATGAGCTGGCCTGAACTTATACGCCACCCCCTCTTAAGAAGTGCTTAAGAGAGAGAGATCGAAACACCGCCATAATTTCTAGCCGATTTATGTGACAAGAAAGTAGATGGTCCTGCCAAAGACCATTCGCCGAGCGACCACTCATGATTGCCCCTCAACCTGTGAGGGAAGCATCCGTCGATAGTTACACGTCGACAAGAAGCCCCCAGCACTGGGCCTTGTGCGAGGAACCAAGGTTTGTTCCACATGACTAAAGCACGTAGGCATCGCCACGTGACCTTGATCATGCGAAATGGATTTCCCCTCAGAGAAAACCCCTTGGTCCTGAGCCACCACTGCAGGGGTCTCATGTACAGGAGGCCAAAAGTTATTACTATGGACGCAGCTGCCATGAGCCCCACCAGTCTCTGAAACTGAGTGAGTGGCCTAGTTTTACCTAGGCCGAAGAGAAGAACCCGATATTGGTCCACTTCGCCCCATGAAAGCAAACCTCAGGGACTTCCTGTGTGGGGGATGGCTACATGGAAGGACGCGTCCTTCAATCTATCGTGACAAACCAGTCCTCGGACTGAATTTGTGACACAATCTGTTTGAATGTAAGCATCCATCCTTCTTTGAAACAATGAAGTAACGGCTGTAAACCCCTGACTCCCTATTGGGAGGAGGAACCCTTTCTATACCCTCCTTTCGCAGAAGAGTCTGTACTTCTTGCTCCATAACCAGCGCCTGCTCGGGGTCCACCACGTAGTGAGGACCCCTAGAAATCTAGGCGGAAGAACCCAACTGAATTCTGAAACTATTTTTATAGTGAGCAGGACCCAACGAGATACATTTGGCAGTACCACATAGGACAATTTTTTTTTTAAATTGAGATGTATACATCATCTGAAAGCTGAATAAATAAGCTTTTAATTGATGTATGGTTTGTTAGGATAGGACAATAAGAAAACCATCCTAGTGTGCAAAAAATCGAAACATTGTGAAAATCGCCTTTACATTAGTCCATTTATGTTCGTGATTGTGCTGCATTCACTTAAAAAAAATGTATCCATTTTTCTGTAGTACAAAAATATCTTCATTGAATTTGATCTTTATTAATCGCCTATTTTTGCATAATAGAAAAATCGATAATTTTGACCCATACAATGTATTGTTGGCTATTGCCACAAATATATCCATGCGGCTTGTGACTGGTGTTGTTATCCAGGATCACATTTGATTGCTTTTGTAAAGCGCAATCATCCAACCCTGTTCCCCAAATACAGGGGGGAGGGGGGGGGGGAAGAAAAAAGAAACTTGTATAGATATTAATAAACGTATCACTATATAACATCTGATTAATTTAACATACACACACATACACACACACACACATTTATATATATATATGTATGAAGTTTATGAAGTGGCTGTTATATATATATATATATATATATATATATATATATATATGTAGCTCAGTAACTGTATATTGCACCTTTTATTGTATTAGCTTTATAAATTGTATCATATTTTTATTACTACTTAATGTATTACCTTCAAATTGCTAAAAAATATGTAGGTTTATACATGGGCCCAAGTTTTGGTAACAGGATTGTAAAAATTTCAAACCCCTTAGAAAATGAATAATGGCTGTCCTTGTTTTATCCCTTATTAATGGAAATTGTACGTAATGTTTATTAAGGTGCTCCTGCTGTATTTATACCCCATTGAAGAATTACTCATTTGCTCTCAGAGAGAATCTGCTGTTTAAGAAAGCACACTGGAGATGCATTATGAGCGTGTGGCACAGCTCAGCTTTCCTCCAGCAGAGGGAAATATATGCGCATACAGCATCATCAATACACAAGGAAAAAGCTAATTATACACACACAATCTGCTGTATTACATTGCGTTAGCTGCACTGTGTCAACTTAACTAAGCCTGTGGCTCTTACATCAGCACCACCATAGAGAGTCTAATGAGTAGTGAGAAGACTACTAATGCTCTACAGAGAATGTGAGCATTTAAAAGTGCGCTGCTGTCATGTCATTCTGACAGGTCAATTTAATTATACAACTGAAGTGAACACGTGTACAAAGCATACTGTTGAAAATTTGACGGTAATTTAAAGTATTTTTGTTGCCTTCAAATTTTACGTTTAGTCAACTTAAAATGTGAAATTATACTAAGTGAAACTTGGATATTTGAGTTGAATTTTAAGGCAGAACAAACACTTATTTTTCAAGTTAAAACAACATTGTTTTTTTGTTCTATTGCGACAATTCATGCAAATACTGTATAAACACATGCTTAGTTCTCAATATGAATTCTTTGCTTTAGTTCATGAGGCACATAACCTGATACCCATGGACCCTAACGGCCTGTCGGACCCTTATGTGAAGCTCAAACTCATCCCTGATCCAAAGAGCCAGAGCAAACAGAAAACCAAAACTATCCGTTCTACACTCAACCCCATCTGGAACGAGAGCTTCACCTTGTGAGTTTTTATTTCATTTGTTTGTATGCGTGTACGATGCAGAAGTCGTTGCCATGAGGTAGTGTGGGTGGTTGCCAAGGTGTTGCTATGCTGTTGCTAAGGCTTCTGAGTGGATGCTAGGCTATCTCTCTCTTTCCCTTCTGTCTGAGTGTAGTTCAGTTCGTGGGAGGCAGTGGGACAGGCGTTTGTCTGTAGAGGTCTGGGACTGGGATCGGACCTCAAGGAATGATTTCATGGGCGCTCTGTCGTTTGGTGTTACTGAGATATTCAGACGTTCCGTCAGCGGCTGGTTCAAACTTCTCAACCAGGATGAGGGAGAGTATTATAACATCCCTGTACCCGACCCAGACCTGCAGGTACTCTCAATAGTGTGTGTGTGTGTGTGTGTGTGAACTGAAAATCATGTTCATGTTACCTTTTTTAGTATGACTACACTCTAATATTACCAACTACAGCCACTAGGGAGTGTATCCTGGGCTTTAAGGACTATAGTTCTGGGATGACAATTGAAAAGTTGACTCAAACCTTGAAGTGACGATCCAGGAAGCATCATTTTTGTGCCCTTGAGCAAAGCACTTTACTCCAGTTTTCTCTGGGGAAGATTATTCCTGTAATAAGTGTATTTAAAATAACCTTTTATAAACATGATATTCAGAAGAGAGAGCACTAACAGATGCCTGGGGCCATCACAGATCAACAAATAAACACATTCATCTAAAATCAAATGTTCCTTTTGAGTCAAACAGCCACATGCTCAAACATTACTCTCGACGTTGATGTAAAACGTGTTCTAGTTGTCGTCTAACCACCATCTCCAAGTCTTATTCAGTGAGCACCATAATTTTCATTTTCACAACACATCCACAGGAGGGCAGTGTATGTCTATATTGATACAAACTATTATTTTTCTCTCTCTCATTCTGTGTTTCTCTTTTCTGAAGGTACCAGAGGCTGCTATCGAACCCTCTATCCCTCCTCCTCATGTTAACATAACACCTATTCCTTCTGTGACCCCACCCGCTTCAAGCCCGACCCCCGCTGTACTGCACAAGGGCAATGGCCAAATCAGACTGCACGATTTCAACTTCCTCATGGTTCTGGGCAAAGGGAGTTTTGGCAAGGTGCTTGAAATTAGTGTTGTCACAATGAAAATGGGCAAGGATGTGGTTATGTAAAATGAACAGTGCATGCTACCACTACACCACATTTTTTGGATGTGTAAAAAATAGATGTATTTCATTCATTTCAAGCAAACTCTGTAGATGCGGCATGTTGAACACCAAAACGACAAACGCTGACTGTAATCAACAAGTTTCAGTCTGTTTGGGTTGCTTTATGCAACTTTCAAGAGTAATGGCAGAGTTTGATTTATTTATTGGTTGATCTGTATAAACAAATTACGTTTACAAGGTAATTTTTTTTTAAATTCTTTTCAGATTGATCTTCTCTCAGAAAGAAATGTGCAATAATTGTACCTTTAGGGGTACAAGAGCTTATTACTGGGGTAGGGCCTTAAAAGGACATCTTTGTTTCTTGTAGACCATTTTGCAAGATGTAAACAACACTGGTCCAGAAACACTTCCTGTTTCAGTTTGTAAGTGTTTTCTTTATTTCACATGTAAATAAAACATCTTAAAGATGTTGGTTTAACTTTTTGATTCAGTTTTAAATGTTCTGTTGGTTGTATTTTATCCCGGCTTTTATGTAGTGTTAAAAAAACTGAAACAGGAAGTGCTTCTGGACCAGTGTTGTTTACATCTTGCAAAATGGTCTATATACTTGTAAGTTCTTAGTAGTAGGGTATATAATTCTATAAGGTACTAAAATGCACCTTTTATGGGTAGATAAGGTACAAAGTTGTCCTTTTATGGGTACTGTGGCAAGATGCTGTACCTCTAAATGAGCCTTTTTTGGATATTTTCTCTGACAGTGTTCTGTTGGTCACCTTTTTTCATGTAATAGAAGTATTATGTAATACAAACATATGGATTTGTGTCAAAACTGAAGTATACTTTGGGCTTTAATCTAAGCAGGTGGTTTTAGGACAGAATCGGACCAGATTTTTACGGCGAAAGTCAGGCTACCCTCACCCATCAACAAACACGTCTACTTCTATGTTCCCTGTAGATGCAATAAGGAGTGCGAAGGGTACAGCGTCCTTGGAACTGATTTAGGCCCTTGTCTCATTCGTTCCTGAGCTGCTGCTGCTGCTGCTAATTCAGGCAGAAGGGGAAACGCTAGCTTTTCTGGTCCCAGCTGCAAGAGGAGGGGGCTGATTTCCCTATCTTAAATTTGCAGCTGTGCCTCTGCCTCTCTTCCTCAAGGAAGCAGAAGCTCTGACTCAAGGCCCAGTGAGATTTCACTTCATACACCTCAAACAACCTGGAGATACTTAGGCACATGGTCATTTCTGCGTTCGGCCAATCACGTTAAGTGCTAACTAAAGTGCGATCTGTGATACATGTAAGAAAGACCTGGTGGGGTTGTGTGTCCACAAGCAGCCCAGGGGATTTTGGAATATTTCAGAGCCAATGCCTTGTTTTGGTCAGGCAAAGCACTGTTCCTCTGAATCTAAATTCTGTTGTCGTGTTTCAGAGAAGAGCATACAAGTGAAGGACTCTGAGCTATTTGATCCCTGAGGAAGAATGACGTGTGTGTGTGTGTGTGTGTGTGTGCTTTTTACACTCGTTTGTTTGAGTGTGTGGAGAAATGTTTGTTTGCCCTTGTGGTGGTGCTCATTTATATCAAATAATTTTAGAGTAGATGGTGTGTGTGTGTGTGGGGGTGTGTGTGTGTGCTCACAAGATATTTGGTTATATAAGAGGCCAGGGTTATACACAGTAGACAGCACATCCTCCAGGGCGCAGAACTGCGCTAAAGAAAGGATAGAAACGAAGGAAGAGATTAAAGAAAAGCGCAGAGGAGAGGCCTGGGACCCAGAGATAGAATAATGACACAAAGCAGGGGAAAAAAAGACATGAAGAGTACAGGATCATACGAGTAAATCAAATGAAAGAATTATGTTCCCTTTTTTTTTATTTTATTTGAGGTAATGTTCCCTTATGCATGTTAAACTCACTTTGACTGCTGTTATCTTCAGTCATTTTGTGTTTGCCGAATTGAGTTGCTGTTGGAGTGTGTGCAGATGATGATGAACTCTTAATTATTGATGTTGAAGAAATGTTAACGCGAGGTTTCCTTGTCATCCCGCAGGTTTTGTTGGCAGAGGAGAGGGGCAGCGAGCGCTTGTTTGCGGTGAAGGTGTTGAAGAAAGATGTGTTGTTTCAGGATGAGGACACGGAGAGCGCCATGGTTGAGAGAAGAGTGCTGGGCCTCGCGGGGCGACCTCACTTTCTGACCGCCCTCTACTGCGCCTTTCAGACCGAGGTCGGTGCGCTCATCGTCGTGTGTGAGAGCGTGTGTGAATGGTTAATGATTTAAAGAAAGTGGGAGCCTGGAAATGAGGTTTACACATGCATAAGCTATGCACATTTGCAAATTATGAAATATACATGGGGTGAAATGTCATTCGCCCCTTAGTGATGGAACAGATGTGCTCTTCACCTTCAGGGGGATTTTTAAATCACTTTTTTTGGCCTTGCACAGTTAGAAAATGAGTACTGACATTTTGTGGGTCCTTCATGTCCACATGTGGCCTCCCAGAGCAACGACTGGCTATTTGTAAGGATGAATGCAGTCATGTTTTGTTTGTATTGTGCTGGTTGATATATACCTAGTGGAGTGGATGCATCACTGATGTTTTTAGGTACTGATGCCATTCACCGGGTGAAACTGTTTAATAATAACACAGTCTCATCATATAACTGACGTCTTGGGACGTCTTTTGACCATAGTCAACATCCGCTTTTTTAGGGTACCCTTAAACGTCGGTTTGATGACGATCCCGGGCCGTCATACAACTGACGCTTTGCATTTAACGTCAGTTAGGTGACGGGGTAGGTTTAGGTTTAGGTCTGGGGTAGGGTTAGGATTCGATAACGTCATCTAACCTTCGTTAAAAGGTATGCTAAAACGGCGGATGTTGACGTATGGCCAAAAGACTGCGCTGCTAATAACAGGGGAGTTTCCAATATAAAGCAAAGCATGACATTCATTGCATTTTGGAATTACCGTGAATAAGAGATTCTGCCTTGAAAAAAATGCTCACTCACATCCTTATAAAGCTCCTAATTACAACTTGTAAACTGCAACATCATGCGGAAACATTCAAAATGGCTGTGACTTCAGCAGTAAATTGTAGTTAAGTAGTCACCACATAATATTTTTGTTTAATAATTACTGTAATTGACTCTTGCTAATGTCTTAATAATGCTAGATTTAGCTCAAAATAAATAAAAGATATACAATACAGTTTTGTCAACAGTAGAGTTAGATGTCTAACTAATTAATTTTTAATAAATAATTTGCATAACAACTTTAACTGTACTTTTGTGTAGAATTTTTTTTAAGGCACACTATGCAAGAATTGTACCTTAATATAACAGCTTAAAAGTCATTTCAGCAGTAAACAAACTCATTGTTGGGCGAATCATCCTGGTAGTAAAGCTTGGGGGACGTTGCTGGAAAAATTAGCAATGCAAGTTTGAGAGGAGATCTCGCGAGAATCTCGATACGCGAATCACGATATGCTTTACACCAATGATGTCACGCACATCAACCACAACATGAAGCACAAAGACACTTGCGCGCATTTCAGACATTATACTCGTTGATGGAAAAAGCAAAGAAAACGCGGTCAGAAGAGACTAGGAAAAGGAATAGAGATTGAGCCTCACTGCTCAACCTATAAATAAATGCATCAATCCGCAAGTTTTCTTTGAGTACTTTAATGGTTTTTTCTCTCTCATCACAATTCAATATGTTCATCAGTGGTTACAGTCTATATAAGGGACACATTTTTATTTTGTGATTTCACCGGAATGTATAGAGAGTCTCCGCAACTGTGATGAAGACTGCGCGCTCACCGCCACAAGAGACACACTGATAGCAACGGACACGAGCGCTCAGTTTGAGTTCAAAAACACATGTTAGCGCTTGATCTCTTATTTAAAGCAAAAAATGCACACTATATGCAAGATTTGTACCTTAATATAATGGCTTCAAATGGGTATCTAGCTGTGACTACAGAGACCAGTCTATGACAGAGACACTCTGCGTGAGTGGTATTTACGACAGTAATATTAAATACAAGTACTCCACAACGACTCTAGGGGTCGCTGTTTGACAAAAATGGAATTCCTCCATAGTGTGCCTTTAATGGATTTGTTTTATTGCACCTCTGATGTGTTAGCTATGGACTAAAGCTGTTCGATCATAGTAAAAATGAAAGCATCATTGTTACTATTCTTCTTTTACCTCATTAGATGGTTGTTTACATTGGCCTAGATAGGCACACCGAAATATTAATTAATTTGCCCTGAACAAGGCTGTTAGCAGTCCTGAGAGGGAGAGAAATAACAAGAACAGATTGTTGTTACAATTTTGACTAACATTGTTTATAAAACATCAGCATGAACAATGGATAAACAAATGTACTGACAATGTATTAATTATATTCTTGGAATGCTGTCATGTGAGTCCGACACTGGCAACCTAGAAAAATTTCCATCATAAAAGGTGATTTATTGATCATTTCTTCACGATTCACTTTGATACGATAAATCACTTTTCTAAGTGATGAATCTGGAGGGCCTTTTTACAATGTTAGTTGCCTCATTTTGCTTTGAAAAATGACTTTTGGTAGTGCTAATTGTCTGACCTCTTTCAGCAGACACGTTTTGCAAAGTGGCAATCAGCCTAATGAAATCCATTGGCAGCTGCTGTACTGAAAGAGAGAAAAAGAGGAGTGTGCTTATGTCTGGCTTTAATGGTTTGTGAAGGTTTGAATTACTCTTGGTAAATGATCTTGATTTTTTTTCCCCCCCGTCGATTGAATTTGTAACAAACAGTCAAACGCTCAATGAGACTGTGTTTAGTAATGACCTCTTTTGTGTATTTAAACTGTGTCTCATTGTATCAAGTACATGAAATAGAGAAATTGAGTCAAAGCAATCAGTTGCCCAGTGGAAAAATGCAGCATCCCACTGGTCAGAAGTTCAAATCCTACAAACTCCAGATGCTGTAGTCAGATGCCTCTGCAGATAAGCTGTCAGCCGTTATCTTGCTCTGGCTGTAGGTGACAAATGCTGAAGCAACAGAAAACATGCTGGTCTCAACTTACAGCAGAGTTTATGTAACAGGCTGTGTAAAGTAGGCTGTTTTGAATGTTCAATGGCTCACCAAGGCTGCATTTATTTCATCAAATATACAGTAAAACTGTAAAAAGTGATCAGTTGACTTAAAGGTATAGCGGAGGATTTTCTTTTTCCGGGTGGGTAGTCTATACTATTGGTCCACCTAAGTGTCAATCATTCTGGTGATATGTTTACGTAAGGCCGTCGTAGGCTACGTGCTCATCCCTATGTAGTTTTCACTTTCAGGTGTATTATGTCGGAGTTACGGTTTCAGCCATTCCTTTGAAAATGGCAGAGGGTCGAAAGAAAAAAAATGTTTACTAAGTGTATGATAAGAAGAGAAAGGCCGCAGAATATAGAAACAAGACCAGAGAGATTTTGGGTGAATATCACACGCTGGCGTGCGCTAAAAGCACAGGTTGGGCTTCTCACTGATGCCGCAGTCGCGAAGATTCTACTACACAGGTAAAGTTTGTCACGCTATTTGGAGAAATCCATTTAAAATCACTAGTAAAAGTTAATGCAAGCTACAATGCTAGCCCTGGCACGAGTCATGCACCGCATAGACACGGTAAACATCTCAATTTGTCTAAAGTAGCCTTTTGTCCAAAATGGTAAATGGTATCACGCTGAAATATTCTAAAATCTTGTGTGTTTATTATTACACAAATGCAACAAGCTACTTCTCCATATGCAACTATGTATAAAAATAACGTATTAACAATGAGAGATATTAGGTTAAGGACCAACGTAATAGCACTGCTTATGTTGCTATGTAATGTAATTGCGATTTGCAAAATAGTTTCCTCAGAACGTATTTCGTGTGATACAGGGTTGCACATATCATGTCTTGAGTCCTCGGTCACTCAATCGATCAGTAAATAAATAAGTAAATAAAACACGGAAGGGCATTTGACATGTTGTCTTTTTTATGAATGTTTTTTAGTTAGTTTAGAATTTGCAACATAATTGTGCAAGGCGTATAGACGTTCCCTCTCGGGAGCAAGAGTGTTGTGTTTGTGCATGTTTTTTTTAAATTGGAGAGGGCGGGTCTTCTCTAAAATTCGGAAAGATCCTCCGCTATACCTTTAAAAAAGTGAGAAAGCCTGTTGCATTAAATTAAAATTATGTTAATAAATTTCATGCTAACTGTTATTATGTGGAATTGTCAAGTTCACTTAACTTACATTTTCAATTACCTTGCCCTTTATATACTTAATGATTTTAAGGCACTTTTTTGTGAATTCAATATAAGTCAATTTTTGTGAGTTCAATATATATAATATTGTGAAATGGTATTATAATTTAATATAAGTGTTTTAATATAAATATAATATATTCCTGTGACGGCAATTTTCAGCATCAATACTCTAAGCTTCAGTGTCGCTTATTTGCTGCTCAAGAAATATTTTGTATTGTTATCAATGTTGAAAACAGTTGTGCTGCATGTGGGTATATAATCACTCTGGTTTCAATAGACAATTTCATTAGCCTTTCATTAGCTAAAAAAAAAAAAAGTTTTAGGTGTATATGATTTTCTTCTTTTAGCCAAACACAATCGGAGCTTTATAATTGGAGTAAATGGTACCATAGAAGGCCAAAAAACATTGGGTGAACTAACCGATTACTTTAAACTAAATTTAAAACTATGCATTTTTTTTTACTAGAAACTTAAATTTTGACTCTTTGCCCATGCTTTATTTGAAATATAATTTCTCTAAATTATTATTTTTTCCATTGTGTGATCACAAGGTCTTAATTGTGTTTGTATTCATGTATTTATGAACATCTATCTTTCGATTTGACTGATTGCTAATCTGCTGTGGCATTTCCTGTATTATTTACTTATTTAGCGTGAGAACAATTGAATGGATTGGCGTTTTGTTTTTAGTTCCAATTAATATTCTGAAGTTGATTATGTTTTTTTTTTGGTTTTTTTTTTTGTGTGTAGGATCGTCTGTATTACGTCATGGAGTATGTGAATGGAGGTGATCTTATGTTTCACATCCAAATTGTTGGCAAGTTTAAAGAACCACATGCAGCGTGAGTTCAGCACTTCTCTTCTTCAACTTTTCGTCTGAATCCTGCTTGCTTTTTCTCTGTTGTTGTTGTTGTACCCCCTTTCTTCTGTCTCGAAATTCGAAATGTTTAATGGAGTTAATGAGAGATTTTGATGTTGGCAGGTTCTATGCAGCTGAGATAGCGCTGGGTCTGTTCTTCCTGCACAACAAAGGAATCATATACAGGTACAAGACACGATGGGAATCTCCTTGCGTAAGCACACCATATGTTACAGTCATTTAATATTCTCTCGATTTCTCTTTCTCTCTCTGGCCCGCAGAGATCTAAAGCTGGACAATGTCCTGCTGGACAGTGAAGGACACATAAAGATAGCAGACTTTGGGATGTGTAGGGAAGGCATGATGGCAGGGGACACCACTCGCACCTTCTGTGGCACACCCGATTACATCGCACCCGAGGTTTCCCTTTCTCCGTCTCCATCCTTCTTCTCCTCCTGTCTGATTCATGACCTTGGCTCTGTGTTTACATTAACACTCAGTGGATATGCGCAGTCAGCACACGTCTGCCAGCATGTGCTCGTGCGAGTCTGTGTGTAATTTCATTTTAGTTCACTGCGGTGTTTACTACACTGCAACATGATGGACATTCCACTCGAGTGATGCATGAGCTTAAATCGTTTGTGTTTTGCTGTGTGATGTAAAGGCGATACGTGCAAATGTGGGTCTACCCAGGCACAATATGCGTCAGTACTGTATTAACCCAGCAGTTAAACTGGCTCACATTGATCACATTATGTAAAAAAAGGGGGGAAAAGAAAAAACTATTGATCTTTGTGTCCGTGTCATTTTGAAAAGATGCAATATGTGTCCCTGCAGGCAAGGAAATTAATCTCTCTTTCTCACGCTGTGACACACACTCACGGCTGACACTAGCATATTTATTGTGTAATTATCTTTAATATGATTTTTATGAGCTTATCTGCACATTGAGAGGCCTGTAATAGCAACTCTGCAAGGGGTATATTTCTGATTTTGAGAATATAACATTACGAAATTATGAAGCAATTAGCAGGGATGGGCAAAATTCTGAATTTATGTTTTGGCTCTCTTTCAGTTGGAAAGCGATTTGAATTGGTTACGTTCCACAGGGTGTTGAATTTGAATTGTAATGATGAGAAGTGGAATTAACTGAATTGCAATTCCAAAAAATTCAACACAATCAGACAACGGAGGAACAAAATGGACCAGATCATACCTACAGTAGTTCTCTACTTAAGGTTTTCATCTTGTCATCATGCTTTATGTTGTTTGTCTCCATTTTAAAGAGTATTGTGTGAAGTATGATTTATTAATGATGTAATATTCAAATTAATATTACAAAATAATAAAATACCTACACTGCCATTCAAAAGTTTGGGGTTGTTATGATGCTCATCAATGCATTCATTTGATCAAAAATACAGGGCGGGAAATTATTTCTGTGATGCCAAAGCTGAATTTTCAGTATTATTACTCTAGTCTTCTGTGTCACATGATCCTTCAGAAATCATTCTAATATACTGATTTACTAATCAAGAAATTGTCAACGGTGAAGATATGCTAGTTTATATTTTAGTGGAAACTGTGATGCAAAACAGCATTAATTTGAAAATACATTTTTTATATAACAATATAAATGTATTTAACATCACTTTTGATCAGTTTAATGCATCATTTTTTTCAAAAAAAAAAATGTTTTATTAACCCCAACATTTGAATACTAGTGCAATTAAACAAATAACACATTTTAATGATATTACATACATATAAAAATGTAATATGATTAATGAAAATGTTATCAAATTTTAATATCATTATCATTTGAATAAATCTAGACTAAAAAAGCCCTTTACAATAGATCTGTATTTTTTTTCAGATTGTGGCGTATCAGCCGTATGGTAAAGCAGTGGACTGGTGGTCATATGGAGTCCTCCTTTATGAGATGCTGGCCGGGCAGGTAATAGTTCATCCTCTTCTTCCTTGGGGTTTAATTTTGTTTTTTTTTTTATTTATAGATCTTCATCCCAGACACCCTCTCCTTCTGTCTTGCTCTTTTCATCAGCCTCCTTTTGATGGCATAGATGAGGAGGAGCTGTTTCAGTCCATCATGGAACAGAGCGTTTCATATCCTAAGAGTCTCTCTCGGGAGGCTGTGGCCATCTGCAAAGGGGTAATCAACTTCCTGTTCTTTCATCTCTGTTGCCTACATATACTTGGATCACATTCCATGCGCAGAGCAATCTATCCCATCTTTAATACTAACATTACATCCCAAAACTGTGACTAAAATTAGACAACAAGCGTAATTCCATCCTTTCTGTATTTCTTTCTTTCTCCATCTGTTTCTCCCCCAGCTCCTCACCAAGAACCCTGTTAAGCGTTTGGGTGGAGGAGAGGAAGCAGAGAGAGAGCTGCGGGAGCATCCCTTTTTCCGCTGGATAGACTGGGATCGGCTGGAGAGACTGGAGATACAGCCTCCCTTCAAACCCAGAAGTGTCAGTATCACTTATCACAACACTTGTCTCTGTGTGTGGGTCAGGTTTACCCCACAAAACTCCCCATCATGTTAGAAAAACATGTGTAGCCTACTTGGGCTCATTTTCTATTTTCATTATCTAAGGTCATCAAACTGCCCTTTGGTGATGTTTATGGGGATTTATTCATGAATAAATACAGAAATAAATGGAAGGATGGATATATATATATATACACTCACCTAAAGAATTATTAGGAACACCTGTTCAATTTTTTATTGATGCAATTATCTAATCAACCAATCACATAGCAGTTGCTTCAATCAGAGCCCGTCTAACGGAGAGCCTTGGCACTTCCTATTAGCCCCGTTGTGTATCATCCTGGTTGCAGTTCCATTAGAATTCCACTGGAGGTGATCGCGGGCGAGAGCAGAATGAATGGGAGTCTATGGGGCTAAACGGCTAAAAGTGTCTCTTTCACCTGCTTGTCGTTAAATAAAACTTAAAAATAAACATAGATTTTATTGTTGATTCCGCAAGTTCAATATAAATTATAGGCCAAAAGTCGAATGAACAAGTACTTATGTCCTTTTGATTTCTTACAGGTTAGGCCGTTGTTGGCCGGAACACGCTAGCATTCTGCTATTGTGTGACGTCATCATATTTTTGAACAGATTTTTAGAACAGATGAGTGAACTTAAAAATGCAATTTTCAGCTGAGTGTATTTTCTTAGCCCTCCCTTTTGAATAAAACTTTCAAATTACTTGACAAAAAATTACATCCTGAGAAAAGTGGATTTATGGGGGTGAAACCCCATTGACTCCCATTCATTCTGCACTCGAGCGCGAGCGCCCCCGCATGGACAGAGACGCGTTACTGCAGCCAGTCCAGAACCCGGAAGTAACCAGCCAGTGCCAATTCTCTTCAATTAGACATTCTCTGCTTCAATGCATTTAGGGGTGTGGTCCTGGTCAAGACAATCTCAAACTGAATGTCAGAATGGGAGAGAAAGTTGATTTAAGCATTTTCGAGCGTGGCATGGTTGTTGTTGCCAGACGGGCCGGTCTGAGTATTTCACAATCTGCTCAGTTACTGGGATTTTCACGAACAACCATTTCTAGGGTTTGCAAAGAATGGTGTGAAAAGGGAAAAACATCCATCATGCGGCAGTCCTGTGAGTGAAAATGCCTTGTTGATACTAGAGGTCAGAGGAGAATGGGCCGACTGATTCAAGCTGACAGAAGAGCAACTTTGACTGAAATAATCACTCGTTACAACCGAGGTATGCAGCAAAGCATTTGTGAAGCCACAACACGTACAACCTTGTTGGGGTTACAACAGCAGAAGACCCCACCGGGTACCACTCATCATCTCCACTACAAATAGCAAAAAGTATCGACAATTTGCAAGAGCTCACCAAAATTGGACAGTTGAAGACTGTAAAAATGTTGCCTGGTCTGATGAGTCTCGATTTCTGTTGAGACATTCAGATGGTAGAGTCAGAATTTGGCGCAAACAGAATGAGATCATGGATCCATCATGCCTTGTTATGACTGTGGTGGTGGTGTAATGGTGTGGGGGATGTTTTGAACAGACATATGTAACAGACGCACACTTTAGCCCCCTTAGTGCCAGTTGGGCATCGTTTAAATGCCAAGGCCTACCTGAGCATTGTTTCTGACCATGTCCATCCCTTTATGGCCACCATGAACCTATCCTCTGATGGCTACTTCCAGCAGGATAATGCACCATGTCACAAAGCTCAAATAATTTCAGATTGGTTTCTTGAACATGACAGTGTACTAAACAAGCGCCCCCACAGTCACCAGATCTCAACCCAATAGAGCATCTTTGGGATGTGGTGCTTTCAACACCTTGAATGCTTTCAGCACCTTGTTGAATCAATGCCACGAAAAATTAAGGCAGTTCTGAAGGTGAAAGGGGGTCAAACACAGTTTTAGTATGGTGTTCCTAATAATCCTTTTTGTGTGTATATAGTAGGGATGCGATATATCGGCCACCACATCGGTATCATCAGATATATGTATATTCTTTAATTCTATCATTATCAGTCTAATAAAAAAATTGACCAATATTTTAAAGCCGATAAATAATGGATAATTACCTTCAGCTGAGACACCTCATAATGCATTATAATTTTATGCTTGGGGCATGGCTTTTAATGGTGAGACTTTTGTTTTCGGTTATCGGCTTTCAAATATAAAGAATTATCGGTTACTGTATCAACCAAAATTTAATATATATCTATATTTTTTTTACTGCAAATTTTATCTTTAGTGGTAGAATTTTAATAATAAATTATTTGATTATATATATATATACATATATATATTTTTGATTTTATATATATATATATATATGTATATGGGTATGTATTAATGTGCTCTGCCTGCTCTTCCTTATTTTTTTCAGCATGCATCTGTGCATGTGTGCTTTCATATTTACTAGTGTTATTTTTTCTTATGAAGATTGCAGAAGCAAAATAAGCCTGACCCCAATTGCCTATAGCTCTTTGCCCATATTTATCATTCTAATCTATGCTATTATTATTATTATTATACTGTGTGAATGTACTCGCACCCCCTGTTCTTAGTTCACAGCGCTAGACTATCATCAAGAGCATCCCCTCAGTCTGCTTGATATTTAATAGATATAAATTTAACTTAACTGATTTTTGCGTGTGTGTGCCATTCTCACAGGGAGGCAAAAATGGAGAAAACTTTGATAAGTTTTTCACATCCGCCCCCTCTGCCCTCACGCCCTCTGACCCGGATGTTCTCGCTGCCATAACTCAAGAGGAATTCCAAGGCTTCACCTACATGAACCCGGAATTTCCCCCCTCACCCCTCACAGCTGTCTGAGAAAACCTCGATCGATCCTCATCAACCGTCTTGTGACTTTTATTCTGCTCCTGGTCATGATTTAAACTACAGTGACAAAAAACATTGGCTTTAGCTTGCTTACCATAGGAGTCTGTCTCAATTAGACCAAACATCTCCTTCCAAAACAACACCACAATGATTTTAAATGATCTTTACAGTAAAAAACTAAGCAATAATAATATTTAGCCGGTCCACTCTGAGAGTATTATTTGTCTGAATTATTTAAGGGTCATGCATTCATGCCATTATCTCATTGGACAATATAGGATCTTATTGGATATCCTTTTGGATGCTAGTAGTTGCCATGACCTAATTATAACTGACTGCACCATAGAAACCAGCATGAACATGATTGCCCCCATGTTTTAAAGTTCACTTCAAGCTGATTATTTCATCTCAGATCAAACTCAGTCTTTGTGTGAGATCCTGTTCGCTCTGGTTTGGTTTAGTTAACAAAATAAGCGTAGACAGGTGAGCAAACACTGGTCATCCTTTTAGCATCAGACAACTGGTATAGAAGCTCAGTAATATGATTTAGAAGACACACACATGACAGCTAGATGCAAAAAAATTAATAATGCTTCAGCATACTACTTGTAACATGAATGTTAGAGCATATGTATATGTAGATGCATCAGAATTCAGTCCAAATATGAGAGAGATTATAAATGTTTGCATCATCTAAGTATTATACAAAAATAAGTTATCGGGATCCAAACAAATGACTTTATGAAAAAATGCTAATTTAGATATTTATGATTTATTCCATATATCTATATGCATATCTATATAAAGTATGTGCAGTGTATTATAAAGTATATGTTAATGTTTATTCAGAATAAATATAATAGAAATTTTCTACGAACATATCATCAGCATTTTTACATCAGCAGAAAATGAAACAATTTACATCTCATCATAATATTTTGCAACCTCTAGTGTCAAGAAAAAGCAACCCCAACTGTTATCAACCAAATATTTTATGTATTTACAGTGCTCACATATTACGTATTATATTGCTAAATTGGTCTCAAATAAGCCTTTGAAATCTCAAGTTTATGGATGAATTAATTGGTGTTGAGTGTTTATTTGTTTGAAGCTGGTACTATATAAATATGAGGTCTCAGAGATCAGCATGAACTAGTCTTGCATAGTGAAATTCATGATGTCTGACCTGGAAAGACCTGAGTCTGCACACTGTGCCCAAACTGCCCCACTAATACAACTTGAACATTGCATTGACGACAAAATGCTAAGACGTCGGAAAGACAGGATAGGAGGAGTGACAGATTAGCAGTGGTGGAGGAAGTACTGAATCTCAGTACTTAAGTAAAAGTACAAATAACCAGATAAATATTTACTTTAGTAAAAGTAGAAGTAACACAATGACAACCATACTTAAGTAAAAAGTAAAAAGTACCTGATTTTAAATGTACTTTAAGTATTAAAAGTAAAAGTACTTGCATAACAATTGATTCTCTTAATGACCATTTTCTAATGATTAATAAAACATTTAATTCTAACTCATTCAACCTAATACTCCTATAATGATGTTCAATAATGAAGGAAAAAAATTGTTGTCACCATTTCTGAAACAAGCTTGCAATTAGCAAACCATGCGCGATTAATTTATGGTGTAATTCTGAACCTCTTTGCTTGCCATAAAAATTGTTTTTTTAAAAATGAGGCAAAAAAAAAAATACACACGGTGTGTTTCCTAATTTTCGCGTATAAATTGCACGATAAACACACTGCGTGCGAGACGCATTTAGTTGATGTATTTATGGCAACCAAACATCACTGGTGAGACAAACGTGCAACGAACGGACGGTCAGATTACGTTTTGGCAGGGAAAAACTGATCAGGAAATGTAATGAAAATGTAACAGAAGTTGTAGAAATGTAGTGGAGTAGAAAGTAGAATAATTGCTGCAAAATGTAACGAAGTAGAAGTAAAAAGTATGCACTATTTATTCTACTTAAGTAAAGTAAAGATACGTGAAAAATGTACTTAAGTAAAGTAACGAAGTATTTGTACTTCGTTACATTCCACCACTGCAGATTAGGTGAAATGATATGTGTAAATGTAGGATGGAAATAACTGAAATTCATTTACAAATTAAAAAACATTAAAAATTTGGTATCACGTCCATTATTCCTGGAATTTGTATTTTGGCGAAATTACTGACTGGTCATGGTCGAAATTCCCCAACCTTTTATTTTATCCCAGAATTGTGGTTATGTAGATGGGATACTTTGTAAACCTGGGTGCTCAGCTGCAGTCTGCAGTCTGTAACTTTTTTTCGGTTTAAAAAGATCCAAAATAAATTTTTGAGCAAGTACATAACCAGCCAGTGTTCAAAACTATCTGCTTGCATTAGCTCGATTCAAAGCGGTAAGCTTGAAATAATGTTTTTAATTCCAGTGGTACTGCTGGATTTCCGCGGGAGATTCGAGCGTGTCATTGCGTCATTACGTCACATCTGAACACATAAAGAAGGAGTCTTGGCTAGTATAAGCTATATTGCGTGTGAGGATGTTTGAGGTAGAGATTTATTGCCTTTTCTCACAGCAATTGATATAATTAAACTTGTCAATTTGATGGCGGATCCAGAAAGGTTCAAACGACAATCACCAGTGACAACAGATTCACCCGCTGGAAAATGCAAAAGACACCGGACCCATGCGAAAACAAGGATACATATCAGAAGGACATTACATGTAGTCACGCAATTCTTACATTGTTAACATTAACAATTTGAGAACAAAGTATAATTTGCACGGCTTGACGTGATATGATAAATGATCGTTAATCAGTGCGATTCACTGCAATGCTTTTTTCCCCCTTAGTTGGTCAGAACAAGTGGATGTTACTTACTTGTTCAGATGACAATTTAGGGTGAAAATCTTTATGTTGGTCATACTTACAAAAAGTATAATCTGTGATTCTGAGTGACAGTATACACCGACGTGGTGACTGACAGCCGCAGATTCTCCTCAAAACATTGGATTCATCCGCGCTGTGCAGTGCCGAGGCACAACTCATGTAAAGTTGTTAATTCCGAGAATAACTGCTAATTGGAGGTTTTGATAAGAGATGGCGACAAAGAGGAAAAAAATACAGACTGCAGCTTTAAACCAGTGAATATTAGTGAAAATTCCATGTACTGATGTAATTACACTGTTTACAATGACCATGTTAAACCTCAGTATCAAAAATCAGATAGATAGATAGATAGATAGATAGATAGATAGATAGATAGATAGATAGATAGATAGATAGATAGATAGATAGATTGCACAATGATTTTTCCTTGAGTTGTTTTGTGTTTTCAGAGTGTGAAAATAAAATATACGAAGTAAACCCATCAGTTTTTGTGTCCTCTCTATCAGTGACCCGTTTGGCCTCGCCTCACTGGTCACGTCTCATTGGTGCTGATGAGACGACAGACCTTTACACTCATCTCTCAATTTCAACTCATCGCTTCCTCTCTCCACTCATCGCTCCCTCGGTGCCATCCCAGTGGGCATGAGTGATATAACAGGATACCCTTAGATACCCTGCCTATTAAAAACTACCCTAACCTCCTTACTGTAACTGTCTTCCTCTCCATCACTCCTTTTTTTTAATGCCCCAGTCTGACTTTCTTATTAGTTCTATGACCTCATCTTCTTTTCTTGAACTGAATATTTCCAGGATTGGAAAAGTATTTAAAAAGGTGTGTTAAAGAAATAACATGCTTTCAGATGTGTTTGTTTGGCTTTTATTATTGCATCTAATGTAGATATCTATCTCTCTGTGTCTCTATCTTTCCATCTTTCACTTCTTGAGGTCAGAGTGTACTATGCTATTGATATCATGTCTAAAAATACGTATAAAGTATAATGGGACTAACAGAGGAAAAACTGAGAAAGAATGAGATTAGGCATGGGTCCAAAATAGAAGACAAATGTGAGCCCTTATTGGTGCATTCTTCTGTTTTTTGTGTTTAAAGAAACATAAAAAATGCTCAATTATTTCTCCCAGACAGACTTCTGCTTATGTCGGCTACTTCTCAGATGTTTCTTCTGAGAAAAACACCCCAGTAATCATGCGTCTCTCATCTAGAGTTTCAGAAGACATGCTGCACAAATATATATATATTGTTAAATCCAACAAAGATTGAGTAGCAGGTAAATCTTGGATTCTGCAGAAGCTGTACATACTTCCATTTGAATTCTGACAATTTGTCAGGGAAAATTGCTCTAATTGTAAGGAGAAAATGAGTTCTACGTGTCCTTTTCTGATGCCCTCTTTTACTGTAAATAATGCTGCTCTCTGTCTGTCTTCTCTCTATACACTGTTGACTAAAATGTCTTTCCCTCCATTATTAAACCAATTTACTGAAGCTTCTTTACATAAAGGAGAGTGCTGGAATGTGACAGGTTGACACTTACAGACGTACCCTAATCATTCACACACAATTTTAAAGATTAATTGAAAGTGAGGGTTATATGACAGCATAATCTAAAAGTGATAGTGGAATGCAAATTTGAATATCCAATATAATACAGTATATTACTAACTTTTAAGTTCCCATTAATTAAAATGTTATTTCTGAAATTTCTCTGAAAAGTAGTGACATTTAAAAAAACATTAGACCTGGCCTAAAAAACTTTTTGAGAGTATTGATTGACCAGATAACATTAAACGAATGTTTTATTAATGTTACTGGAAGAATGTTTGTTCATAACTTTGCCTCAACGTTAGTTTAAGTTCTTATGTATCAAATATCGATTGATAGCCATACCGATAAACTAAGAATTATCTAATATCGGCCGATAATAGCTACCATAGGCTATATTGTGCATTTGTACTAGCCTAAACCATAAATGGTTTGCAAAACCACTTTTCCCTGTCCAAAGCACTAACACCAAACATAAGCTTCTTCAAGCTATAGAAAAAAAATATCTTTCAATTTTATGCAAAAGTACATTTTCTATTTGGCATTACTAACCCAGACCCTACAATACATTCACACGCACATTGTCTGCGCGTTGCCTCGCTATCTTTCGTTTTACTGGGATAAACAGGGAGGGTAACCGTGAAAATGTGAGGGAGGAGAAGATAACGGGGTATCAGAGGGAAATACGCACGTAAGAGAGAGAAAGAAGGAGGGAGGGAAAGACGAGAGAGAGAGAGAGAGAGAGAGAGAGAGAGAGAGAGAGAGAGAGAGAGAGAGAGAGAGAGAGAGAGAGAGAGAGAGAGAGAGAGAGAGAGAGAGAGAGAGAGAGAGAGAGAGAGAGAGAGAGAGAGAGAGAGAGAGAGAGAGAGAGAGAGAGGATATTTTGCCAGGCACCCCTGGTGTGAGGCTTGTGCCTGCGCGCTCGCTGCAGACTCGTCAGCAACACGCGCACGGGCAGGGTGAGTACAGTCTGTTTTCATTGTCCTTTTTCTGTTCTCAACTAATGCGTGACTGAGTTGGAACACGTTTTAACTTTTGTCAAGTGTTATTGATAGAAGTTATGGGAAACGAACGGGTTTGTGTTTATGGCTGTGCGTATACCGTGTTACAGAATCCCAGCAGGTCTGTGAGCGCGTCGCATGTTGTCGCTGAACATTTATCATAGGACGTTTGTGAGAGTTGTTTGTTGTCCGTTGTGAATTGTAAACCTCCAGAGTCATTTAGGAGACTGGCATGCAGTGAAACTAACATTTGCAGCTGTTTTTGTGTTGGTGAGTGAATGGTAGCTGAGGTAGTTGAGTGTGTAACTGGCTCAGGCAAGTGCCTCAGGAGGCGTGCACTGGCATGTAGGTGGGAACTCCATCATTACTGGGCCAAGGTCTTTCCATACATTAGCCTACATCTGTCTTGGCATTCTTTCTCTTCTCTCTGTCCCCGTTCCTTACTGTATGTCTGGTGTTTACACTGTATTTATTGTAAGACGTTCAGATATCTACTTAATATCTGAGGGTTCCTTTAAACAAAAAACATACAAAAATATTTAAAGAGACAGTTCACACAAAATGTCATTCCAAACATGTAGACTTTCTTTCCCCCGTTGAACACAAAATAAGATTAGGAAAATGTTGCAACCTTTTTTATTTATTTATTTATTTATTTGCAAAATAAGAGCAAGTAGGGTCCAAAAGCAAAAATGTTAATTCTTATTATTATTAAAACTTAATAATTATTATTATTATAATTAAGACTTTCATTCTATGAAGAGGAAAGAAAGACAGAAAAAAACACTAATTTAAAGTTATATATTGTATGCTTTCCACAGAAGATAGAAATGCATACCGGTAT